AACTTCACATAATAATATAAATCTATAATAAACAAAAAATAATTAAAAAGCAATAATATAATAAAAACATAAATATAAAAAATCATAATAATAAAAAAGAATACATAATATAACTTCAATACATATATAAACATAAATATAATAATCATAATATCTATAATAAACGAAATAAAAGCATAATAATAAAAGATATAATAATTTCAAATTATAATTACGAAATAAAGCATAATAAAAAAAGCAATTATTTAATTAAATATAATAATATAATATTTAAGGGTTTTTAATTTAAACATATATAACTTCACATAAAAAATAATCATAATTCTATAATAAACGAAATAAAAAGCATAATAATAAAAAGCAATACATATATAACTACATAAATATAATAATAATATCTATAATAAACGAAATAAAAAGCATAATAATAAAAAGAATACATATATATCATAATATATAATAATCTAATATCTATAATAAACGAAATAAAATATATAATAATTTATATATTAAATATATATATATTTATATATAATATTTATGGTTTTTATTTAAATATAATTCTTATATCTATCTATCTATCTATCTATCTATCTATCTATCTATCTATATATGTATATATATATATATATATATATATATTAGCGTGTGTGTGTGTGTGTTTATAAACAGTAACAACGTCAGATCAAATGAAAATTCCCATAATGTGTTAAAGGTTCGATGCCTGTCGGGGAGCGCATATTTTCTATGAAATTTCTCGTCATTCTATCTGGTAAATGTAATTAATATTGTTTAACTAAATAAACAGAACATTTACTTTAAAACACTACAACATTAAACACCGTCTATAGTAATCATGGCCACACAAAAGTGGAGTATCATCTACCATGCACTCAAATGCGAAAGAAGAATAACATACATTCTATTTTTATTATTCCAAACAAATTTCAATCTCGACAGTAAAGGACACATAAGAAGTTTATATGCCGTTAAACAAACAAATCTTTTGAATCAGTGTGTAAAATTGTACAAATGTTTTTTATGGAAGACCGCTTTCTGCTATTCTTTTAGCTATTATCAATTTTTTTTTTTAAATTTTTTAATTCTGACTGAATGTGTAGATGTTTAAGTATGTAACTAAACGTATAGAAATATTTTTTTTTGTTGGGGGGGGGTTCGATTGTGACCATCCGTAACATACTGCTAGAAAATACAAACAGAATAACCTCATCCAAATCTAAATTTAATGGAAGCATTGATAATAAAAAGAAAGTAGCCAACACTCAATAACATTAAGTATAAATAGTGATTTTCCAAGCGTAGTTTGGATGTGGCACAAGGCCGAAACTAAGGAATACCCAGTGAGGATCGAACTCACTACACAGTCGTAATTGTTTTAGCGAGACAAGCTTGCTAACCATTACGCTACCTCGAGGTGCCCCAACGTTAGGTTTGAATAAGGTCACAAAAAATCACTTTTATGCAATACTTTTTTGTTACTTCAAATCGTCTTACTGGGCATTTATATTTGAATAGAGGATCCGTTCATTTGAAACCGTATTTTTTTTTCCTTCAGGTGGGGTGCGTACTCCAGTTAAATTTAATAAAGAACATGCTTCTACCGACAGGAATTGAACGTACGTCACACTTTGCAGGGGAAAATACCGTTTGATTCGACATGCTTTTACGATTTGGCTACGTACATCATCACAATAAGGCGTGGTTCTATAATCACCTTTAAAGCGCCTTGTCTCTCTGAGATTTTTCCGAAATACATATCTGCTCAATTTCTTAAATTAAGAAATTGTCTTTTTAATCGCGCATATTTTATACCTTCAAACTTTATTCTTAATGGATACACATATTTAAATAGACGTTCTGTTTCTTTTAAATAGTATTTATATCGTCTAATACCCTGCATATTTTTTGAGAAAAAAAAATACTAAGACATCTCTATCTATAAAAGGCAGGATGTGTGTGTGTGTGTGTGTGTGTGTGTGTGTGTGTGTGTGTGTGTGTGTGTGTGTGTGTGTGTGTGTGTGTGAATGCACGGCGGATTGCACCAGAATTTACATGCACATGCTCCAAGTTAGCGGAAAGGCCAAGACCGACATTGCATTTCCCAACTCCCAGCGATAGTGGAAATAATCGATTATTTCATGCTTCTACAGCAGTTTTCATGTAGTTTGCAGCCATTTTCTACTGGCCAGAGTGGGAGCCTATAGCTTGCTGCCACGAATAGGCAGGAAGATTCTATTGGCCAGCGTGAGAGCCAACAGCTGACTGACACGAATGTTAACTAGCATGCTAGCATGCAAAAAAAAATCGATTGCTGCATTCGTCACAAGTGGGAAAAATTTAAATCTGCATGGCACTTTACTCAAATTGGCTCATTCGCTTGCTTAAAATTAACGTTGATTCTGATTCCGCAGAACTGGGTTGCGTGTGGAAAAGTATTTGTTGTTAACATTCATTTTTCATTCGGTTTTTTCCAGTTACGAGTCCTTTTTTAAACCTGATCGATTTGTTTTCATTTTGTTTTGTTCTTTTTTCGTAACAGATTTAATGTTTAGTATAGAGCTTAGAAAAAATTCGCGGTGTGAGATAGGCAAGAAGTAAGGCATGTAGCAACATCAGCACGGAAAAGGGCACTCCTTTAAAGGCAAGGAAGGGCAAAAATATTTAAGTCAAGCACGGGCAATGCCGGGCCATGCTGCTAGTATCACTATATTAATTGAACTATATACTTAGTTCATGCCATGTTAACTGAAAAACACTTGTAAAAAAAGAATTCGTGGATTTACCATATTACAAAATTCATATAAAAATTCTCACTTGAAATTTTTAACTTTAGCGTTGCGACTAGCACGTTCCGAGATTGTACGACCGTCAATAAATAGCACTCTTAAAAAAAAAAGATCTTTCGGTCTACAAACAATTATTTCGTGTTCAAACTTTAATTTTAAAGGAAATAATTACAGCCTGACAATGAAGGAATGATTCTTTGACAGTACTTGCTTAACTTAAAAAAATAGACACTAGAAACATCTGACAATTTTTTGATAAATGAGGATCACATCATTCAATCGATTAACAGTATTTTAATGCATACATTATGTTTCTACTAGCGAAGTGATTTCGCAATTAATGGCATTAATATAGCTGATTGATTCTATGTATGATTATTTCTTTATATATGTAATATGATATATATATATATATATATATATATATATATATATATATATATATATATATATATATATATATAAGCTACTTTATGAATAACGATAACTTCCTTTTTCCTAAGATTTTGTATTTTTTTCCATGTCGACAGTATAGTTAAATGTCCCAGAATAATATGAGGATAAGAAAAAATGGTATAAAAATGACAACTGGAAAAAAAATCGGAAACGCGTCAGCAAAAAACTATAAATGTTTGAAATTATCATTTTTAGAACAATTTGTCATATCCACAGAACCATTTTGGGGAATTTAACTAAGTATCTATTTCAATACCAAAAAAGAATATCGATTTTTTTCAACCGTTAAGGACCGAAATATGTCTTTATTATTATTAATAATTTGTTCTGGTACATCAAGCACTGTTTTATTATCAACAAGAATTACTGTGGGCTACATATCTACATAGATACACAGACACACACACAGACAGATATATATATATATATATATATATATATATATATATATATATATATATATATAAATGAAATGAAAAAATGGGATTAGAAATTTCTAATCCCATTTTCATTTCATTCTTTGTTGGAATTGTTACCTGATGATCCGGACTCCTTTAAAAGGATTTTGTTAAAATAAATTATTTTAATGGTACCTTAATGGTCTGTTTTTCATTAAATATTAGCTCTGTATTCACATTGAGCTCACAGGATTCCATCCTCCTTGGAATTACCCATTCGGTTTACCAAGTTCTTCATATATATATATATATATATATATATATATATATATATATATATGTGTGTGTTTGTGTGCGTGTGTGTGTGTGTGTGTGTGTGTGTAAGGCTTCAGACATAACTACAATATTTCTGTAAGAGGACAATATGAAAGGACAAAAGAAAAAACTCATCTTAGCCGACGAATTTTATCCTCTGATGAATAATATCAAGTCAAATGTAAGGATTTTATTTTACAACAAGCATTTTTAAACAAAATTAAAAACGCTGTCAGTATTTCTAATTATTATATCAGGTTAACTGAAATATTTTGGTAACTTGTGTAAGATGCTAAGTGACGTAAATAAATGTATAATAAGTGAATGTGTGTAAATTATGTTGCTGGTTTTTATGCAATTAATATTTAAATTATTCTAGTTTGGAAGTAATTTATGTATTATATTCTTTAAAGAAGAGGAGGTTATAATCTTTACATTGGGGATGATAATCTCCATCAGAGACCGAAACTCATCAGCCAAGATAAAGTTTCTTCATATTCTCACGACACATATGCTTACTATATATATATATATATATATATATATATATATATATATATATATATATATATATAGAGAGATAGAGAGAGTGAAGCTGTATGTACATAATAAATTACGTAATAAATTATACCCATGGAATATTAGTGTTTGGTTATATATATATATATATATATATATATATATATATATATATATATATATATATAGTCATATTTTTTGTAACATATGTTTATAAGTGATAGATAGATAGATAGATAGATAATATTAGTGGTCAATATATATATATAAAATGTATTTCCAAGATGATAAACTCAAGGTTAAGCTCGATGTACATATTAAATTAAGGATTACGCTATAACCATGGAATATTAGTGTTTGAGCGTTATATATATATATATATATATATATATATATATATATATAGTTAAGATTCTTCATATTCTCTTGACATATATGATTACACACACACATATATATATATATATATATATAATGTTAAGTTTTTCATATTTTTGTAACATGTTTATAGGTGATAGATAGATAGATAGATAGATAGATAGATAGATATTAAATTATAATTGACGCGAAAAGACATAGTTAAAATAATATTTCCTCTACAATTCTGTCTCTACGTTCTTATATCTTGTTGAAATTTGTTCATTTTCCAATTTCTGTCTGTCTAATTATCCTGGCATCAAAACGCTCGCAGATGAAGCCGTGTTGCATCGACTTCTTCACAGACAGAGTCGCTGCGCCGACTGCATCCAATTACCTTCGACTTATTTCACATGAATTACAGCGCGGAACCCGGTGCACTTTTGCTTGTATGACTCCAGTCGCCAGGTGTCGACGGTACGTTAAATCTATTCGACAATGATTACTTTCTATATCGCAGCGAGATACGGAATAAAAGTTGAACGTACCGACATATGAACTGGTAGAAGGGCGAATAGTTCCTTTTGACGCTCCAATCAAGATAAGAACCTCTAATAAGAGGAAAATATGCGTTAAATTTAACAAAGGATAGAGCCTGTCAATCAGCCCTCCGATAATATCCATCGTTCGTCATTCAGAATTCGATAATCGACCCAGATCAAAATGTAGTATCTGTTCTCAAATCTAATGTCAATGGTAAATTTAACCCTTTTCTTATATGGAAAAATTTGCATTCCTTGACCATACAGCCAGTTCTACTTGAATTACGATTTTTTTCATTCATTGGGTATCGCCCTGACATCAATGTGTAGAATCCACGATTATTTTCTTCGTGTTAATATAAGCCGTTTCCTTAGAAGGAAACATTCCGTATTCATTAAAAATCAGTGCTACATTAGTTACCCTTTTCTTCATTCTCAGGACATCCGACTGAAATCAAAATATATGGTGTGTTCTAAAGCTAATATTAACCGTTTCCTTAGAAGTGAATATCCAACATTATTTGGCTGATCAGCCAGTGTTACTCTCGGCTATAATTCTAAAAATCTTTCCATTATTTTTTTCCTGCACCAGGTTTCTCAAAGCCACGAACTTTAACCGCTCTTTCTCCTAGTGATGGGAGATTTCCATCCTAACCTTTTGCGTCAGGTAGTGTGGAAAGTCAACATTACTTTCATTTCGGTTTACGAGTGCTAACAACTTCAGTTGTGGCTGCTGTTGACAGTCCTCGAAATATTTTTTTCATTTATTTAATAAGTCAGTTATGAGCCATGAGTGATACAAGCTTAGACAATCATGTGTCTTTCGATTCATGACTGACGAAACATATTTTTCCCCGCAGCATGTTTCCAATTCTTTCTGGGGAAGACCAGCTGTCATCGATGGCTACAGAACCCGGTCTGTCCTGCTATTTACCCATAGCTGGGCGGAGCAAAAGAGAAGTCGTACTTTTCCCAAGTATGTTAACACGTCAGCCAGTCAGTTATTTGCCATGCGTTATACAAGCTTAGGCGATCATATATCTTTCGATACATGACGGATGAGGCAGATCTTTTCCCGCCGTAGGTTGCCATTTCTCTCTGACTAGCTACCATCCAAGGCTAAAGAACAGGGTCTGTCCCGCTATGTACCCATAGCTGGGGGGGGGAGCACTGGAGGAATCATACCTTTCCCAAGGATATTATCATCTTAGTCAGTCAGTAATGTGCCATGCGTGATACAGGCGATCATGTATCGTTCGATACATGATGCACGAGGCAGTTTTTTTTTTCCTGGAGTAGGTTGCCATTTCTTTCTGCGGTAGACCAGTTGCCATCCAAGGCTATAGAGCCCGATCCGTCCTGCTATTTACTCATAGCTGGGGGAGAAGAAGAGGATTCATACTTTTCCAAAGGGTATTAGCAACTAAGGGAATGTAATGGATTCGACTGGAATTCGAAATCGGCTCTTCGATTCAAGTTTACCTTTGTTGCTTTCCGTGAATAATACATAGGGTATTGAAAGTATGTTGCCCCTACGAATTGAGTTTTCAATTAAAGAAAACTCTTTTTTCACTCCGATTTTGGAAATGAGACTTTTTCCATAGCTACACTATTTACATTGGGACTATTATCCTTATTTGTGTTGCTGTTATCACAACGTTTCGGCAGTTTGGGTCTTACAGCCTTTATTAGGTGTATATCTATCTGGGTACCCCCCCAGGAGACAATAATAGCCTAGTGGATTAGAGCGTTGGTTCATGAAATTATTGGCGTAGTATTTAATCCGTGGGCCGGGTGGTGTGTATTCAGTGGGACGGACGGGCAACAGCGCAGCAGTCCTATAAACTAGAGGCAATCACTCTAGACATGGGCTGTTGACCGAGAACTATCTACCTATGTAGATTAAATAATACGTTCAGTTCAGAATATCCTTTAAGTTTATTAGATCGATATAAACCTGAGGAAGGCCGGTGAATACAAAGGTCGAAACATTTTTAGTACAACAAAAAAGATAAGGTCAATAGACCAAATATAAAATAGTGTAAATAATTCTTACGGTTGTTCATTTTTTTTTTATTCAGATTTTCGAAAGTAGATTAACCCAAAGTCTATTCCCCTGCGTACGTAAGATCTATTGCTCACACATACTGTTTCCACCAAATTGGAATATTTTCACTGGTTTAAATTTGATTTCTATTAAAACGTTTAGGACACACACAAAGTCTGTTGTGCTGTTCGTGCTTCTGGCTTTATTTCTTGCTCATGACAAGCAACTTTCAAATTACGATGTGAGTTATAATAGGTAAAACGGAAATATAGTAAATCAATAAGTGAAAATGTGCGGGATAATGTGCCACACTCCCGGAATATAGGGGATTTCGGGTATGGGCATATATGGGTGGGTCAAATTCTATTATTACCGGACTGGGGCTGTCTGTTGTGTTGAAGAGGGAGACAGTAGAAAAGAGTTGTTAGTCTTAACAAAGTCAAATGCAAGAGCAGTTTTTGTAATGAAAGAGATACTATTAGAGTAAAGGAGATGGGGTTAAAATTCTCTGTTAGTCCTTTGGGAGGAAATAATGAAATAGAAGCGAAGATGTCCCGGATGTCAGGTCGTGCTAAACCAATTCATAAATAAAAGTACCTCATATAATGAAAAAGATTCCACATTTTAGAAGAGAAATTGATTGAACGGATGGAAATAAAATCAGAAATGTATATATTGATTATTTTTTTTTTAATATGGAACAGATTGCGCCGAAGGAAACTGTGATCAAAATGTGCAATATCAGGACAGCCATTCCTATAAAGTGGTCCAACGTAGATCTGCTATGAATCTTTACATGAAAGAAACTCTTTGAAAATTAACCGTCTCAAGGATGACCTCTAGAATTAATCTTTGATGAAAATTAGCCAAGGAGAATAATAAAAAAAAAAAGGTAAAATGAATACAATAAAACAAACGGGCTCTTTTCCTGCTTCCATGTAATTTAGAATGTGTGGTTGATAAAATTTGAAACGTCAGAGCTTATATATATATATATATATATATATATATATATATATATATATATATATATATATATATATGTCGATAGATAGATATACATATAGATATATATGCACACATAAGTATAGGATTGTTGTATGCAGAAAAACTTCCTGTAACTAAAATATATTAGTCTTATATATATATATATATATATATATATATATATATATATATATATATATATATATAAAGACATTTTTTTATGTATATACGTTCTTTTTATAGATACAAATATTTAAGTAAATGCTCTGTTCTTCATGAACAGTATTAACGACATTTATCGGCCTGAATGTGCGAGAAATTTTAATAGAAAATATTCATAATGTGTGACGTCATATATATATATATATATATATATATATATATATATATATATATATATATGATGTCGTTTTGAAGGAAGCATTTCTGATTCCAGACCTCTTTCATAAAACAGAAAGTTTTATTATTGAATTCGGGGAGAAAGTAAGCTAGTTTTCCGAAATCCGGCCTTCATGTCGAATATTATTTTGTTATTCCTAATTTTTTTTTAATAGCTTTCTCAATTTCTGCATCAGTAGATTCATTGTTTTTTAAGCTGGGACACGAACTTTGTAATAATCAGGATGTATAGTGATTTTCTTCTTTAAATCGGTGATGCCCAATGTAAGGCCGTAATGCCACTAAATGGCGTAGAAATATAACAAACAGAATCATTAAATGAGTCGAAAGAGAAGCTAGTAATCAGCAGGACCGTAGATAGCGATTGACATTGCATTTAAATTTTTGAAGATTGAATTTAGCTGGAAAGCATGGAGCCGGAAGAGATTTCCACAACCTAGAAGTGCTAGAGAAGAAACTGTTAGCATAAAACTTACGGCTACATCTTGCCAGCTCAAATGTAAAGTGATGGGATCTTGACGCCAGCCTAGTACTGCGCTTAAATTCACTGGTTCTATAATGGAGAGCTCAAACGAACAATTATGAAAATATTTTTTAGAAAAGGCAACTTTACGGCGGTGGGAAAGTGACAGAAACCGAGGTATGTTCTATTTCTGCTGGCAAATTAAATTTAGTGTGGTCAGGGTTGAAATGTGATTCAAAGTGTTTTTTGAAACCAGGGCACTTCTGTAGTGGTTTTGATATTACTCTGATTTTTTTTCTTTTTAACCAGAAAATTTCGTAGACATGAGAAACGTATTTTCCTGAAAAGCTTTTAAAATAAATATTTATGTAAAAAAAAAAAAGAACACAGTCTTCTCGATCAATGAATATTTTCTTATAAGTTAACATATATTATTAACAACACAATTACCATTACGTCTGTCTATAATAAACAACACAATTACCATTACGCCTGTCTAGCTAACTCGTATTTTGAAACTTTTTTCTTTATCTTCATTCTCCGGCTTTCACCGCGATATAATGGATTTGATATTGCATATATGTTCCGCGCCATTTTTTGTGTTTTGGGTATCTAACAGTATTTTTCTATCTACTAATACTTGGCTTAGTTTATGAATATTATTTATTTGTATTCCTTTTTTTCTGGTTAATACTTCCTGGTCTAAATCAGGCGCCATCGAACGGGTCCGAGAGACCCCCTAAGGGTCGGTAAGGAGTTTCAGAGGACCGATGAAAATAAAAGGATCTAACGGGAGTCGGTATGCGAATGACACTGAGCTAAAAGCGAAACTCAACAGTAGACCAATCTTCAAAAAAAATTCAAGCCGCATGTGAAAACCGATGAAGAAGGACAGAAACCTCCTGTAACATAGTCCTTGTTATTGCAAAGAAGGGGGAACCTCAGTCAATTTGTGAGAAGTGATTATTCGTGCTCATGATGATCGATTCTCAAAGAGTTTGACAAGAAAGGAAATAGGTTGCAACCCCAGTCGTATTATTAAATCGGCTATCCTGTTAATGCGCATATGAATATTAGATTCGCCGTATCTTCTTTCTTTCATTGTGTCACCGAAATATCAAACGCCTCTTTTTAATTTTAAAGTACGTATTATTGTCCCATATTTATTCGTTG